ATGGTTTTGTAATGGCTTTGGTGGTGTTTTCAGCAAGGGTGGGTCAAATGTTCCATTGACAAACACTTTAAAGCTGCCATAACGGTTACTCAAGACCCCTGGAAGATGAATACTAACCATTTTCCTGACTTTACCACTGTTTTCAGTTTTACAGTTCCATTAATATCAAGAAAAGTCCAAATCAAACATATTAAAATGTACAAACTATTTAAATAGGAAGGATGCAACAAGAAACGTAATGTCTGGAAGTGTGTCCAGGGGATAAAGCCAGTTGATGTCCATGAACGTTTCTGTAGTCCCATTCTCTGGCAAAGTCACTATTACCCTATAGTAACACTGTCACATTAGAATAAAGTGTTACTCTAGTTTTAAGAAAATCCATCCATCTATTTTCCAACACTTATCTGTGTTTGGGGCACATGAGCAGCGGTCTAAGAAGAGATGCTCAGACTTCCGTCCCCCCAGCTACTTCCTTCAGCTTTTCTGAGGGGACACAGATTCATTCCCAAGCTGGAAGAGACATCTCTCCAGCATGTTGTCAGTATTGCCCTGGGCATAGGGTAGGGACATAAATCAGCTAGGAAATAAACAGCTTTGCTTTCAAAGTAAAGAAATGCATCATAAAATAAAAAATTAAAAGTAAATCATTTTGTCATTTTGCCCTTCATCCTAGTAAAACAACAAGAGTACTGAATCCAGTTTTGTGTAAGAATGATGTCTTTTAATATCTTGAAAAAATATCAAACTTCCTTTCATAATATTATAGTTATAGTTATTTTCCTAGCTGTTGCACTAAACTAAGCTAAGCTGTCAAGGATGTATTTCATTGAGTAATCTGGGATGTTATGCACACTGAAGCCTCTAGGGGACACTAGCATTATCAGTCTAAAAAAATAGTTTTGACGGGAAGAAAATATTAAAAAAGCCGCACACACAAACACGCAGACAAAATCCATATGAAGCATTCTACCAGAGCCATTTTCCTCGCTGAATGTAACGGTCACCTGTGTTGTAAATTAGTGTTTGTGCTATTTATTACTTTAATGTAACATTGGTGGTGTTTCAATTGAGGAATGCGACGTTTTATTTTTGTCAGGCATGTGTTTGACTTGTGTGTAGTTACCGTGTCCTGCAATGTAGAGAAACACAGCTAAACTTATGTACAGCCAATAGGACATTTTATAATATTAATAAAGTTTTATATACAAGATGTTTTTTGTTTAATTTCTAACCTAAAATGTTTTAATATTTTGGGCAGCAGACCAATTTGCTTTCTTTCTATGAATGAAACGATGAGGTGGTAAGTATGACTCCGTGTTCTTAGATTACCTACAAAGCTGAAATCCAGATGTGCTTAGCTTAGTTTGACATAAAGAAACTTGCTAATGCAAGAAAATCCATGTGTCTAGATGATTAAACATAATTGGAGCTCAAATGCTCGTCAGTGAGCCAATTATCAATTTTTTATCAATTTACTACACCAGTAAAAATCTCCTTCTGAACCACCTCCAACAGTGCGAGAGAACAGGGTAAATGGTCTTCAGCCAGGAGCCACCTCTCCCTGCTGGTTCACTCCCTACCGTTCATTTCCTGGACTAAGATCATTGTCCCACAACTTATCATTCCTCTGCAGCCAGAGCCAAAAGCTCCCCTGCTCTGCCTCCTACATAATACCTTGGATAGCTCTTCTCCTACTCTTGCCACCCATGACTCCAAGAGATTTCAGGAAATTCTATGTGGATCTTCCAATGAAACGTCTCTATCCATCTTCCAATGGGAAGATCAATGCTCTCCACTCTGCTTGTTAGCTTGCTGCCAGGAGCTCTTTTCTCTCAAAAGCTGCCTCTTACAGAAACTCAGCTGTACTACGGACCAGAGCATGATGTCTGGATGCAGTGATGTTATGTTGATCTCTCTGGGGAACTTCAACTGCCTGCCAAGGGCTGCTGTAATTTACCAATTACCTCCTAATGACAGAAGGGACCTCAAATGAATGGGACAGCTTGGCACTTTACTTCCCTGTCGGACAAACTTGATCAGCTGCTGGGATGTGATTGGCTGGCCATCTTTTCATCTGGTCTGACATTTGGTCTAACAAAGAGAAGGAGAGAGAACCTACCCAATATAGGTGTCTTTAGACTGTGGGAGAAAATCAAAGTACCCAGAAGAAACCCACATTGGCAAAAGGAGCACATGCAAACTCCATGAATTAAACTTCTCCAATTATACAGCTGAAAACAACGTACAGTATAAAGTTCTGATGTTGCATTTTAGTTTCTCTTATAGTGTTGCACAAGAACTATGTTTGGTGCCAGATTGTGAAAACACTTGGACAACTAAAGAAAGTGTGGGAAGACAATAAGCGTACTCCCCCCTTCGCTATCTATATCTGTTGAGTGTCAAGCACTGAACATCTGGTTTATGTCTGAGCAGCTGGGAAATTCCAGAGCTTTTTACTTCCCGTAACAAGGAGGACTTTATGTGCACTGATTGTTGTGGGGTTTGTTTTTTTTTTTGGTAGTTTAAAGTTTTTGGGCTCTGATTGGTCAAAGTAAGTCCAAATATCAAGCAGGTTTCCAAGAGAAATAACAGTGGGAGGTTTATGATTATTATTATTCCTGCTTTCAGGACCCTCAGAGTCACATTCAGCTCTGCCTGCAGTGCAGAGAGCGTTTACTCCACTTACACTTAACGTTAACATTCAGCCAAACAGGTTAAGTACAGAATTACACTTGCTGAACAGGACATCACTGGCATCACTGGTGAGTCTGATTTTTTTCATGTTTTTGAAGAAATGCATTTTTTTTTTTTTTTAAAGGGAAAATACATTTTGCTGAAAGCTTGCAATTCACCAGTTCACACCTGGTTGCTTTGTTCTTTTATTTCTTTATAGTTTTCACTTACTTTAGTCTTATGTTATATTCATATAATGTGTAAACCACTGTGTGTTAAATATGATAAAGCATGCATTTTCCTACAAGAAAAAAGCTTCTCGCTTGCATTAAAAAGGAATTTTGTCCAATTGCAAAACACCACTTATGATATTTACCTGAATGAATAAAAGGAGATTGGGGACTTTCAATAATGAGCTGGGATATACATCATCTTCAGTGGAGGTGAAACCACTTTGAGTTCCCATGATGGCTCCCTCCAGCAGCTTGGCCCTGCTGCTGCTCCTCAGCTGCCTATCAACCGGTCTGGGCTGTTTCTGCGACCGATACTCCTGGAGCTCCTGGTCTGCCTGCTCCAGCACCTGCAACCATGGCACACAGAGCAGAGCGAGGTGAGACACACACAGAGCACAGACGGTGAAACCAATATAGACGCAAGCGATAGGTGAGAAAAGTGTATGATGCTGAGAAGAAACACAGGTGAGATGCAGCATAGATATCACAAACAGGTGGGACACTCTACAGAGTGCACATGTAATGCCTATTTAATCAAAACAGATAAAATGGCATGCAGAAGTGTCCTTTTTAGGATTTCTTTCAGAAGTTTTGCTTTTTCTTTTGTTTGCTGTTAAAGCCAAAGTAATTGTGCAACACTGTAAATCAAAAATGAATCCCTTTCCTCTCCCATTTTCAACTGCTGTAGAGAAATGCACATGATGCCAGCAGATGCTGCATGTAAAAGGATTTCATGCTTTTTTGACAGGCAGTTTCGGCATGACGAATATTTCTGGAAGAGCAGCTGCTTTCAGTTATGTCAGCAATACGACAGCAGAGCTTGCAACCAGCACGCCTGTCCAATCAACTGCCTGCTCACTGATTTTGGGCCGTGGTCCGACTGCTCGCCCTGTGCCAAGAAACAGGCAAGGAACTCGCAGTCACGGTGTAAAACAGTGACTCTCATCTTAACTCTACATTTTCTCCACACATTTCTAAACGGCCACATTATTGTCCTTGGATTAAATGGACAAAAAAAATGAACGACCAAAATAAGACGGTGTTTTTGAAAGCTCTGAAAAATACAAATAAAGGGTTTTATTTTTAAGAAAAAGCCTTTCATCTAAGAAAATATTAGGTCTACATAAGATTGAGTAACATAGATGAACATTTTTACCAAATAATAAACATAAAAAGAGTTGAATATATATAAAATAGATTTGATCAGCATTTGGGTCATACTGAGGGCTTTAGGTAACCAAATAGTTGGTTACTGGCTAAAGGGTGACTCCATATAATATCAAATATAATATTTATCCATCTGTTACTGTTACAGTATGTAGAGCTATCACTGCTTGTAATAATCATGATCATTGTCATAAAAATATACCTCTATTTGTAATGGCATACTAAGGAGGAGTAATGCTATATAAATGATGAAATGAGCACTTGCCAATGCCTTACTAAGACCTTGATATTGTTTAATAGTGTGATATTTTTATAAAGTGCTGATTTGAGATTGGAGGAACAAATTAGTTTATAATGGAGGAAACTTAAAATCTAATATAATATAAACAGAATGATCACCGGTCTCATTCTCGTGTCACTGGCACAGTTTCGGACCCGGTCTGTCGAGAGGCCGGCTCAGTTCGGTGGATCCGACTGCAGCCCCGAGCTGACAGAGGAGAGGCAATGCTATCCATCCACAGAGTGCAGGATAGAGTCTGTCAACTGCAGGGACAACTTCAAGTGTGATAACGGTTAGTGGTATATTAACATAAATGATATCTACATAATTGCTTCACAGTAAAAGAAATAGCTTCACATTCTTCCTGCAGGGCGCTGCATTAACTCGACACTGACGTGCAACAGACAGAACGACTGCGGGGATAACTCCGATGAGAGGGACTGTGGCGAGTTCACTGTTGTGTGTCCTGTAGAGAAGAGAGTGGCTCCAGGGTCTGACCTGGTGGGGAACGGGTAAGCTAAAGGTCAAAAGGTCACAGCTGAGATCCTGACTCATGTCAGTCCTCTTGCATTCCTCCCTCCTGTGTTCATATATTATGTTCGTCCTCCTCAGTGGTCCAGTCATATTTCTACTTGTAAACAGATAATCACCGTTTTGTTTTGTTTGAGGCTGATATCAAGCTTTGAAAGCAATTCAAATAGGAAAACAAAGCATCTGACGACTTGAAATTTTTGGTTTGTGCATAAATATAGAAGCATAATATTTTAAAAATATCACAGATAAAAAAATCCTTGAAAATTAAATGTTTAAATCTTCACGATAATAGTGAATATCATAAAAACATTTATAAACACAAAACTCTGACATAAAAATGCAGAAAATGCTTTCAGTACTTTTTATTACACTTTATTCCAGTTTATTTATTCAGAAATTTCAATATAAGCCAATAATGACATCGGCCTGTGGATGTACTTTTAGACTTTAAAATTGACTTTTTTCTTACAAGCGAATGAGATTTGACTTTCCCCCGATTTGTGTTCGTGAAGGTTTGATGTTCTCGCCCAGGAACCGAGGGGAGCAGTGCTGGACAACATGTTCATGGGAGGAACCTGCGTCATTGAGAGGCCTCCAAGCACATTACTCTACCACCGAGTTCCTTACAACTTTAAAACTTTGAAGATCAAGGTAGGTCTTGGTATTGGAGTCTTGCATTCATATGGAGCTGTTGTCACTTCCAGGTAAATAATCAGCAGTGACAGTCTTTACAAAGTCGTTTTACTTGTGTCACTAAAGTGGTTGCAATAGAGTTAAATCCTACCCAACTGGCACTTAATGCAAACCAGCAGCAGCCTGATCAAGCTAACACATGCACTGCCAGGTGCATCGAGCAGCCACCTTAAGACATTAACAGTATTTTCAATGTAATCTTTAAAAAGTGGAAAAGCTGAAGTGTTCCCAGCAACTTCCACACTTGTTAGCACCTAAGGAAGCTCACATTGAGTTGTACACAACACTGCTTGACATACGTTTATATAAACTGCTTGTGCAGCACAATGTCATGATGTGACGAACGACCATTGAGCAGCAAGGCTACAATCACTGCAGCAGACACACGAGTTAATGGAGCCTGTTCTTTTATTTTTATTGATCAAAGCTTGACTTTACTAAGCTTAACCCGGCAGTTCTGTGGAGCATTAGTGATGTATACCAGCAGCCCTGTCTAGGTAATTGGTAGCCCTTTATACCGTGCTGCTGATGAGCCACACTTTTCTCAAAACATTCAGGGGTTTTTCCACATTCCAAAAAGGAAGATAAGCCACACAACCATTTGTGCACATTTATAATTAAAGCTTTCAAACAAAAGTATCCATAATAAGTACATTTGTGTTAAAACCCAATAACCCTAGAAATCCCAAATGACACCTAAAACCCCCAAGCGACTCTCCAACCAAACTTCCCACTTGAGTTCTACCAGAACCTTTAAATAGTGTTCAGACCCCCGGGGACACATTTGCTCAAACACATTGTAGAAGGCAAAAGAGAGAACAGGCGCGTGATCGCTACACCACAAATCCACTTACACTAAGATCTATATTCATAATAACTGCGCAAATGCATTACCCGCACTTTTCTAAACTACATAATAATCAACTACATTTGTGACAAGTACTGTCTCTTTAACTTACAGTATCTGTCCACCGTACGCCAAGTAGCCACTCGAGTGCAGAATCACACAAATCATTAAAATGTTCAATAAATAATCAGTATATATTTAAGATCTCTAATGTGTACGTATGTTTCTTGATGTGCGAATGGTTTCCTAAAGTGCAGAGTGCTAACTAAAATGCAAATTTCCCCGAAAAGGCATCTGCTAATCTCTAAAATAAAAATCTAAATTATTCTAGACAAATAACGAAACGCCTCTTTATTACATGTGGACATTAGAAATGATGTACAGTATTTTGTATTGGTACTTATTAAAAAGCACTTTTTGTTTAAACACTGTGTGAAACATTCAATCAAACCACTGCTGTGCTCAGCCCAACAAAACATAACAAAATGTGTTTTAAATGGAAAGGATGGTGCATTGAACGCCCTGCTATGTTACCCAAGAGTTGAACCGGTGCGCCGCCTGTTTTATATGGCAGGGTTTGAAAAGTCCCAGGTAACAGATGTAGTTGTGGTTGTTTAGGTTGGAGAGCCAGAGGACTTCAACACTGAGCCTCAGCCGCTGCACGCCGAGTCCATCGATTTGAAGACCTCCCAAACGACGCCTGGCAGCAGCACGCAATCTCAAGGCTTGTTTTTCTTCCCGATCTTTTTCTTCAGTGCATCGTCTAAGTCGCACTCCGATTCTAAAAGCGAAGCTTTTGAAGCTTCAAAGAAGAAGGTGAGTCCAGAAAACTGTGGGATGCACTCACAAGTTTGACATGATGTAGTTTTGAGAAACCCAGATTCACATTATGCTTTCCCTCATTTTATAATCATAGATGTAATGTTAGAAGGAGAAAGAAAAGAAAAGGAAAGAAAAGAAAAGAAAAGACACGATGTTTACATTGTATAAAAAATGACCGCACTAGTAGGATCTGAAACACAGTCCCCACAAAGATAAATAGGTCAACATGTGTGCAGGAACACATATTTCTTTTTTATCTGTATTTTTCCCCTTATGATCTTCTTATTTATTTCTTGGATGTTCTTCTGTAGGACTCCAAGTTTATCAGAGTGAACCAAGTCCTTCCTGTGTCAACATTCAAGATTCGGGACCCGGGGGACCTCGTCCTGTCACAGCCCTTCTTACAGTTCCTCCACGCCCTTCCTCTCGACTACAACTACGCACTCTACAGGGAAATCTTTCAGCGCTTCGGGACACACTACTACAGCTCAGGGACATTGGGAGGCCACTATGATCTGCTGTACCAGTACAGCAGAGAGGAGCTCAAGAGTTCAGGTACAACAGCACAGCCTGGTGGAAAAAATGGAAAATGCAGCACTGGGCACATACAGTAAACTGAAAAATTAATTAAACACTAAAAACTGGAAAGAAAAAAAATGAAGGAAACACTCAAATACCACAGTACAACACAAAGTCAGTTAAGCTTCAGGGATATCAGATCTGTCCAATTAGAAAGCATAAAGCACTGTGAGGGCATTTCACCGGCTTCAGTGCAAATGAAATTAACAGCAAGTGCACTAGAGGAGCAACAATGAGACATGACATGTCACACAGCCAGAGTTTGACACAATGACTTCCACGTGGTTATTTGTGAATTTTTCTGACCAGTCTGTCAGAAACATCCTTCGGTGGCTCCTGTGCTCACAGCCCAGCACCGTGCCTCTTGACTGGCATTTGCCAGAGAACGCCACAAATATTTTCGAGCAAGTCAAATTTTTTTTTGTACATCTGGTTAAACGAGGCTGAGTAACCATTCCTCCAGTTTTACCTCACTTTCATCCTGACCTTTTTCTTTATATTCTCAACATATAGGGGAATGGGAGAAATACGCTTTGACCTGTTCACTCCTCAGAAACAACACGTTGTTGTCTACAACATAAAACACACAACAGCTTGTTTTGATTTCCTGCATTTCTGCATTTCTTGCTCTTTTTCTCTCTGCAGGTGTAACTGAGGAGAGCGCGATAGACTGCCTGGGCCGAGAGACCACCTGGACTATCATCCTCTACACAGAACACAGGCGTGAAAACCGATGCTCTAACAACCGGATGACTCAGAAATATGAAGGTAACAATAATACTATATTTCTGCCTCACTGCCTCAATAGAGAGCATTGATTTAGTTTCTACCGTGTTATCTTCTTCACTCTTTCCTGCACATTTCTTTTGTCCAGGCTCATATGTTCAGGCATCGGAGAGGTCTTTCTCCATGGTGAAAGGAGGTCGAGCTAGAGAGGCAGCAGCTCTGGCCTGGGAGAGGCAGGGCGCCACTCCGGATAAAATATCCTTCAAGAACTGGGCAAAGTCTGTCCTCGAAAACCCTGCTGTCGTCGATTACAAGGTTAACTGTAGTATTCTTTCCTCAAGCATCACAGAAATAACCACCTACAAAAAATCTTGCACTTACATCTGAGTCGGCGTGTCCAGCTGCTTCCTCTCATAGATCTGGTTCATGGAATTCCTTGCGCTTCCACAAAGAGGAGGCACCTGAGGAAGGCCCTGCAGCAGTACATGCAGGAGTTTGATCCCTGCAAGTGCGCTCCCTGTCCCAACAACGCCAGGCCTGTTCTGTCCGGCACAGAGTGCAAGTGCGTTTGCCAGACTGGCACCTATGGAGCCAACTGTGAAATACGGGCTCCTGATTACACTTCAGGTATATCTGGTGCTCACCAGGTCTAGTTATAAAAACACTGTTGCTGTGTGATGTGGAAATACTTTGAATTTAAAGTGTCCTTAGTGAAATAGCATTGATATAACAAGTGGGTTATTTCACAGTGTTCATTAAAGTGAAAGCCTGGGGGAAGGAACTGCCTCTGTGGCGGCTGGTCTTCATAAACAGTGCTCTGTAGCGTTTACCTAAAGGCAGCAGTTTAAACAATTTGGGAAGATCTGCAGACTTGATTGTCCGTTGCAGTCTGGCTCTGTCCTGATGTACGGCGAAATGAAGCTTGTAGGCTAAAGCGCTTCGAGAGGTCAGTGAGACTAGAAAAGCACTGTTTGACTGGCAGTCCAACATGAAAAGATCCTGATCAGTGACGGAGCTAAAAATGAGGATTTTTTGTTGTTTCTGGTTTTTATTTGTAGACCGAGTTCTGCTAGTCAGTCACATTTTTTTTATTTGATTAAATCCAGAATATCTATTCTAATATGCCCCTCATTTTCTTAGGATCAACTTCTTATTTTGAACTTTGAATAATACTTCAGGAACTGCTAGCGGGTCTCAAAACCTTGAAGCAAACACAGTTAAGATGAAACACAGATTCTAATCAGGTTTTACTAACATTCACACTGGAAACATTATCTGCTTTGCTACATCCACAGAGGCGGTGGATGGTTTGTGGAGCTGCTGGGGGTCGTGGAGCAGCTGTGGAGCCTCCATGAAGAGACATCGGACGAGGCGGTGCAATAACCCCGCCCCTCTCAAAGGAGGACAGCCCTGCAGTGGCCCAGACAGACAGGAGGAGGCCTGTCACATCTCCATCTTCACAAAGTACTGTTTTTATTTTATATTTCAGTATAAGGAAAAGTTCTGTCAACCTTATATCTTCGCTGCTTTTACCCTGACACATGGACATGAGGATACACTGCTGCTCCTGTACAACAGCTGATTGTTTATTTTGACTATTCAGAATTACTGGACGATCTGATTTGTGTCTCTCGTTCAGACAGGAGACCTGTGACAATGATGACGACTTCACGATAGGCTGGAGGGACGAGCTGCCACCTGGTGTGCAGGGATGTCTGCGGCCAAAGAGCCCTGAGAACAGCTTCCTCCGGGTAAAACCAGACACACAAGCTGAAATGCGTCAGATTATGACATGTGCTTTATATAGACGCTCATATCTGCATTACATTATTTTGTGACAGAAAGCGAAGCAGTATTATACCTTTGGTGAGGACGAGGAGTTTGAGTGTGTCACTGGGTTTGCTCTCGACGGTTTTCAGTACATCAACTGCCTTCCTGATGGAAGCTGGAGTCAAATAAGTGGGAGATGCATCAGTAAGTCTGTTTTCCCATTAAACCAGTCCACAGTTATCTTAGTGGTTTGCTACAATAGTCCTTAACGCACAAAAAAATGACAAACTGCTTAAGGATTGTGTGTGTGAATGTGTGTGTGAATGGATGTGTAAAGCGCTTTGGGGTAATTAGGGACTAGTACAGCGCTATACAAATACAGGCCATTTATCATTTACCAAAGATTAGCTGCGCCTGATGTCTATGTGATCCTGTAACCTTTAGGGAAGATTTGCCTTCCCCCTGACATCCCTGACGACACAAGTCTGTCTCCCAGCAAAGACGAGTACAGAGTGGGTGAAGTGGTGCGTTTGAACTGCAATGAGGCGGGACTGCAGCCGCTGCCGCGAGGTTTCTACAAGTGTGGCGACAGTCTCACCTGGGAGCCCCCAATACCTGCTGAACTGCGCTGCACTAATGGTACACTACACTGCTGGAGAAAACGGGGACCCTACTGGTCAAATTCTGATTTCTGACCTGCACTTTTCATTCATGTGTATTATTCATTAGATAAACCTCTGATTGGTTGGAGATACTCACCGGTCAGTGAGAGCAGGTGGTGATGGTTTTAATGAATAAAATGACATACACAGTTCTGAAGCTTTAGCTATTTGACAAGATTTCATTAAAAAACAAAACAAGTTCCAGTAAGCGGCCTTTAAAAGTAAAAAATCGTATCTGATTTGAAGTTTGGCAGAGGTTCCATTCACGATCAGTTGCTCAGTTTTGTGCACCCACAGTGAAAAACCTCCTTTGCAGTTTTTACATTTTCCAAAGCCACCCAGTCAGATAGATTGGAAACTTTGGCAGGACATTCCCAAATGGTCAGAAGATTGAGCCAAAAACTGATTTTCGGTATTTGTCAAAATCTGATTGTCAAACATATCTCTCATGAATTATATCAAGACATTTTGAGCCAGAAAGAACATGCCAAACACAAGGTAGAAGTTGTAATGAGTTTTTGGCAAAGTGAATTTTATTTAGCTATCCTTTATTTATCGATGTATGGAGGCTTGTTGAAAACATTGAAGGCAATTATCTACAAACCGCCGCAGCGCTGGTGGACATCTGGTCGTTTCCCAGAGGAGAACCGTGAACAACAAATTGGCTAAATTTAAAGATTTTGGATTTTTGTGGACCTGTTCTCAGAACTTTTTATCTCAGATTTCAAATGAGAACCACATGTGTAAATGAGCAGTTTTGTTAAAAAATTGGCATATTTACATCAAAATCTTTACACCTTGATCTTTTTTGTTTTTACTTCTGAGTAGTTTAATCTGCTATAAATGATCATATCCATTAACCTGCTGACATAGTTTCTGTGGACAATACTTAGTTTATGCTGTTTCTGTATGTGCTGTGTGTAGAGGAACCATTTGTTCCTGATGTTCAGTGTGGTCCAGGACAGGTACTGCGAAACTCTCGCTGTGTCTGTGTCCCACGGGAGAGCTGCCTGTAAGTATTTACGAATGAACTGGTCACATTTGAATGGATTTTTCCATATAATGTATGCACTTTTACTTTTACAACAATCCTCTTTGAATGTTTGAAATGTGATTGACAGCCCTGTGTGTGTGTGCGTGTGTGCGTGTGTGTGTGTGTGCGTGTGTGTGTGTGTGTGTGTGGGTGTGTGCGTGTGTGTGTGTAGTTCACAGCCGGAGAATCTCTGCATCCTGAACATAGACCTCGGCGTCACAGTGTCAATGTCGCTCTGCTCCTTCCAAGCTGGTCGTTGCCATGGTGACCCGCTGTTCTTCGTCAGCAAAGCTGCGTGCGACGCAGGCACTTTGGACAAATTGGAGTGGGCCATGTTTAGGGCCAACATGTCCTCTAAGAGCTCTGTTCAGGAGCCTTGTGAACTTGACACTTGCTATGAGTGGGAGATCTGCTCTGGTGAGTTTCACCTCACAAGACCTTTAGCCTAACAGTATGAAGCACAAATAACTGACCTAATGTTAACTCACGTCTGTCCCGCAGTGTTTAAGAAATGTGAGTGCAGAGCTGTTCGGGAGTGCCCCAGAGTGAAACAGCACACGTTCTGCATAAAGCTGACCCGGCTCCAGAGGACTCGCAGCATGGACCTTTGCTCTATGGCCGCGCTTAAATGCTCAAAGTACGAGTTTGAAATTCTCAATGAAGGCCAATGTGAGTCGTGATGACGCTTTTAAAGCTTTTCTGCTGCATTATACTCAGCAGCACCTAACACTGAATGTTGTGTTTAAAACTGCATTCAGCACATATAGTTTTAGACCTCGTTGAGCACCACAAACATCAATTTAAAGACATAATAAACAACAACATGGTGTGAACTTTGACATAAAAAAATGATTTTCAAAAAAGAAAGAAATATTACACAGTTACAACTTTTATATCTGGTAAAAGTAAAAAATGAAACTCCATTTCCAGGAAATGTTTATGAGGTTAAGAGGTGCTTTTAAGACTTGCATCATCATAACTTCCTGGTTGAAAAATATCTGCTTCTTCAGTTTACACATTGAGTGAACATGCCTGTGAGCACAAAATTTGGGGGAAAGTTAACAACCTCTCCCAAAGGGGAGCAATAGACTAGGCTGAATTGCAGGTTAGAGTGAAAAACCACGGCGAGCTTCACTGAGCTCACCTTTACTTTGTTCTGAGTCGCTGTAATGGCCTCTGAGTTGCATGCCTCTCATTAGCCTATGAATATCAATAGCCTCACTTTAGTGATACTCTATAATGAATGAAGCAGTTTAAAAAAATCTGACTTATGTGTGAAGGAGGAAGAAAGCAGCAGCAGTCTGTCAGTCAAATCTAATTCCAGGTATTTTTATCCTTGCTAAATGTGCTTCACGTGCAAAAATAAAAACATAAAATTGTAACTTTGTTTTCATTTTCTCCTGCACTACTTTCTCATCCCTTGCCTTTTTTACACTGCAAATTAATGTGACTATATCAAATGGCAGCAACTCCGTGCACTTAGGCAGTTTGACATGCTGAGGTATCAGAATAACTCTCAAAATCAGTAAAGATGCCGAATTAAGTGACATGCAAGGATTTATAGAGAATAATAAAAAAATAGAAAATAGTTAAATAAATTTAAAAAATGACTTGATGATGTCAGAGATCAGAGGAGAATGGCCAGACTATTTTGAACTGAGAGGTAGTAACAATAACTCAAATAACTGTTCACTGCAACGAATGTATGCACAAGACGATGTCTGCATGCACAACATGTCCAGCCTTGAATGAGCAGCAGAAGACCACACCAGGTACCACTCCTGTCAGGTAAGAACAGGAAACTGAGGCTACAGTTCCACCAAAATTAGACAATAAAAGAAAAAACACAGCCTGATCTTATGAGTCTTGATTTCTGCTGAGACATTTCGATGGCTGGGTCAGAATTATGTGTAATGGCTCCACCAACAGCAAAAATAAGTCCTTAGATTGTATGATACAGTAACAAAAACGTTTTATTAACTTTCCGTATGTAACTAAAACAAGCAATTAGATTAAAACATTTGTGTGTACAGTGGGGCAAAAAAGTATTTAGTCAGCCACCGATTGTGCAAGTTCCCCCAC